CTTTTTCCTCCTCATACGCTCATATATTTTTTAACCTCGTTTTATAAATTATTCAAAAAATTCATATACACCAATAAAGTCTGACACATTTAGTAGATAATGGGTCCCTTAAATATATTGACAAGGGTTCACTATGTATATGGAAAAATTTTATTGATAGAGACAAAATTCATTCAGTGATCTTTACGCCTCAAAAGAATTAATGAAGCATTTAGCCATGAAATACTTTCATGAAACTCAAAAAAAATTCAGCTTCATGAAATTTAATGAACTTGTTCTTGTCACGTAAATAAACAAAGAGATCTATTAATCTCATGTTGCAACGTAAATAAAATTATGGGATCCATTGCTTTTTCAGAAAAAGAAAAGAAAATAAAATAATAGATCTCACTATTTTATCTCTGTTGCCTGAGATAATTATCTCATGCAACATTACAACATGAGATAATTATTTCTCATAAACAAATGCTTCCATTGATTATAAAATGCTAAGGCAATGAAGGTGTGGCTTGACACTTCTTTGTAGGTTATTATTATTATTATTATTATTATTTGTATAATTTCTTTGTAGATTATTAAATCCATATATAAACAAATGATCACTTGAAAAATAATTACTAATTTTATTAAATACATAGAATTAATTATAGCATAGTTATAAAAAATATTATGAAGTAATTAATATTGAAAATATTATTAAATAATAAAGGTAAAATTATTAGTAAAATTATTAAATAAAAATATTTATGTAATTAAGAATAATTTATATTTTAGAATTGTTTATAAATGACATTTCATGTCCTTGATTTATTTCAAATAATAATTAAACTTTCATGTAATAAATTCTTAAGTGAAAATGTTGATTGAGTACCGATTGTAAAAATGGAGAAGTAAGATTTAAGGGAAAGTGATTTCTGCTTTGAGGCAGAAAAAATAAAAAAAAATTGCCACTGAGAAAAAAAGAAAAGAAAAGAAATGTGGTCATCATTTTATGGGTTTCAAATCAATATATTATTTTTGTCTTCATGTAATCTTTTTCACCGTAAGTATTGAAACAAAACAAGGAAAATACTTTGTTTAATCAAACAAATGCATACCTACAAGAAGTCTCCAAATCAGTATTACTATTACTACCCTTCACATGAGTTCCCTTTTCTCTATGATTCCCCTAAAATCTCCAACCCCAACTAACTTTATTTTTCTCTAACTCCATTTTTCTCTATTTTTAAGCTTCTTCAATGCTTCCCCTCAAAAACCACCCTCCTTTCAAACCTTCGAACTCAATAGCTTTTCCTTTATGCAGAGGCTGCCCTGGTTTCGCTACTTTGGTGTTTTGTCTCCAAAGTCTTTCCCCAAGATTTAAATGCTTGTCTCTAATTTGGGCTTAAATTTGTCTGACTGTCTTAATTTCCTTTTGGTTTGACATTGCTGGAAATAAGAGTTGAGGACATAAGAGATGTTGAGAGAATGCTATGGGAACTCATTCACTGAGCTTTCATGATGTCTTAATAAAGTTCTAAGATAAAACTAAAATGTGATGAGACAAATTTGTATAGGCAACTTGTTTTCTCTTTTCCCAGCCTCCCAACACGTTTCATGTCCCAAATTTAATGCCCACATGAAACAATCCTATGAAAATTAGATTTTTTTTTTTTCCTGATAATATTTCAAGTGATTGCATATATAGCACACTTTTATTAATATATAATTTTTACACAAACTTTTAGTAGTTGTCATAGATGTATACTTTTAGTCAAGGGATATATAATAGAAGATGAAATTGGGGTTTCCTATCCTTAATACAGCTGATTCAGCATTTATATAAAAAGCAGAGCTGGGATGCAGAGTAGGTCTCTATAATAAGTAAAACTCACAAATTTGAGTCATCTACTCCATCTTAAGTATTCAATTTGGAGCAGTTTTAAGTTGCAAAAAGTTGAGTCTTACATCAGTACTTTGCTTCTGATTTAATCAGTAGATTGCTCAAAGAATTTACCACCCGGACTTAAACAACTACATTTGTAGAAAGTGCAAATATCACAAGGCTATGATTAAAACTATGATTAACAGAAATCTTTGAAAAGAGGGTGATGCTGTTAAAAGATGCTCTTACTTTCACTGCAACATTACAGTGCGCGTGGAATGGAATATACATGAGCAACCAAAAAGAGGTCAGAGTAGTAGTGAGAGTGTGAAGAAAAAAAATGATAAGGAACCAAAAGGCAAGTTACATGCGATTTTTGCAAGTATACTACAACTCAAAATTACAACATGCTATAATCTATTAATGATTATGATATATATCATCCATGACAAACGCATCTGTACTGGTATGGACTATTAATTGGGTCATTTCCTTCTACAGGAACCTGCTCAGCTCTGCACTTATATTTACACCCTCCACATTCATTGTACGTTCAAGTTGGTGCTGTGGAACCAATCATCAGTCTTCTATTATTGACCATGCCTCATTGCTATCCTGATATTACCACGTTTTAGATGACGTAAATTTATCTGCGAATAAATATCTTTTTTGATCCCTAAAAAAAAATACAATGCTTGCTTTAGTCCTTTATAAAAAAAATTAGTGTAAGAAATTCAAAGTGGACTCATTTAGTTGGTTTCTCACAAATTCAAAAAAAACCCATATTAATTCTTCAAAAGTACTAAAATGGATCCACTTTAAATTTCATAGGACCAGCCAACTAATTTTTTTTTGTAAAAGACTAAAGTGAAGACCATGTTATTTTTTTGTTAAGGACTCAAAAAGGTATTTATTCTTTATGCGGAGATAGAAAATATAGAAAACAATTCAAATAGATAATCCATGTATTTGGCTAACCTGCAAACTCAATTTCCTTTGGGGTTGGGAGGATTGAGATAACAATCCTTCTGTTTCATTTCCTGCACCATTAGATTGAGATACAAAGTTGAATACCAAAATACACAAACATAGAAGCAAACTGAGAAAAAGTGAATTTTAGTGTACATGAAGAAAACCATTAAAACAGAAGCTCTGCGATGACATATAATTGAAGGGTTTTATAAGAATTATGTTGTAGGTAAAGTGATTGTGTAATGTTATAGAGATTAGTTTTGAGTGCCGTAGTTTTTTTTTTTGCTTAAAAAGTGTGAGCCTCACAAAATGTAAAGTGTGAGCCTTACAAAATATTATGTATGCAGAAATTTTTTTTGTGTCATGTTAAACGATGAATGCAAACCCATAATTGAAATTCTATGTACATAATATTTGTTGGGCTTTAACTCGCCGACACGGCTTCTTAAATTTATTTAATTGTGAGTATGACAAAACCTCCTCCTATAAAGGCTCAATATGTATGATTTGGTAAGGTAAATGAGTTGTGTTGGTAAATTCAAAGCATTACAGTTTTTTGGCACATAAGTTACGGAAATGATCTGTTTATAATTTTTTTTTATAAATTACACTAAGTATGACCGGTCATACTTTAATCAATAATTTTAAATACGTGACTTTAGTGCAGTTTGACCGGCATACTTAGTGTAGTTTGTAAATAAAATTTTTATAAATATAACTTTCCCCAATAACTTATAGTTTGAGAGAGTTTATTGCATTTTAGCCATTTTTGATATAAAGTAAAAAAATAATATTATCTGTATAGTTTATTAATTACATATTAATAGAGTATATTTGTTTTATACAAAATTAAAATAATTTTATTGAATGTTATACTTATTTTAAAATTAAAGTTTGTATAATTTATATTCACTTTTAAATCATGCAAAACGTTTGCATTTTGAAAAAAAGAAAAAGCAAGCAGGTGGAAAAAACTACTCATGATAAATAACTGAAAATGACATAATTTTACAAAACATCTATTTAAGTAAAATCTAACCTAATTTATTTCTACCCTTAATCTCATTAAAAATTTTAGAATGAAAAATGTGGGAAAAGGGCAACTGAACTTCCTTGGGTCCACCCCATCATGGCTCCCAGGCTGTGCTAGCATCATTTCATTTTAGGTCTATTTAAAGCTTGAAGAATGCACCAACGACTAGTGCAAGTTTGAGAACAGACATTAGTGGTTTGAAAATTCTAGCCCACATCAACAATTTTGAGTCTTTTAAAGAGATATCATGGTTTGTACTAAAAAAGAAAAAAAGAAAAGAAAGAGATATCATGGTTGTTAACCAAGAAAGCACCAACATGCTTTTTGAAAGAAAAAAAAAAACTGCGTGTCAGACGCCCACACGCTCCGACTCGTTCTGACGCGCGTCCGATATGCGGTCAATATTTTAGGACACACGGTCAATGTTCCGACACGTTCCGACATGCAGTCAACTTTTTTCAACACGCAGTCAATGCTTCGACATGCATTTGACACATTTTTTTTTAGGTCTAAATTTTATTTTATTAACTAAAAATAAAAAATTAATTTATAAGTCAATTTTTTTCTATTATGGAATTTGACATAAAAAATTAACAAAGTATGAAAAATTACTTTTGCTTTATGTTATAGAATTTGAATATTTGATTGGTTATATAACTTATTATGAACTGTTATATGTACTAAATATAAATTATATTATATATATTAAAAATATTATTTAATATCAAAACGTATTGTAAGATGTCAAAATATGACATTTTTTAAAACTAACATATTAGCGTGTCGTGTCGTATCGTATCCTTTGTTGCTGCAACATAGTTGTTAACAAGATGTTAATATATTCTAAAATCGCAAAGAAAAAAGACCAGTGGTTAGGCCACCAGAAACAATAGCCACGTTAGAATCAACAAATTAATTTCTCCAACTACGTAATCTGTGCGCTTTATATGCTGAGTTCAACTTCAGTGGGGGGGGGGGGGGGGGGGGGGGGGCGAGGGGGGGAAGTAAAAAAAAAAATTAAGATTTGACTTGAACGAATCTCATGACTTACTATGTTAGATATCTCTGGATGAACAAAATTAAGATTTGACTTGAATGAATCTCATGACTTACTATTCACGACACGTGAATATTATACAAGCAAATTCTGTTGTCAGATATCTCTGTTTGAACAAAATTCTTTACTATGTTACATCTTTGTAGTTAATAATCCAATAAAAGAATCTTATTAAACTTGAACAAAGCAAAAAGAAGAAGTAAAAATACAATCAATAGTCATCCATGTAGAAGGAGGGGCTTCAAATTTCAATACGTGACTTTGACTTTTACCAGGTCAAAACACATTTCTCCCCTTCACTTTCCCACTTTGATTTGAAGGTTACTCATCCCAACGTTAACCTTTTCCACTGTTGATTCATTTCTCATTTCATTTGGAGTTGACTCCTTGCAGTTCAGCCATGGGTGTTGCAGCCATTGTTGTGCAGTTGGTCGCTTCTCAGGTGCAAAATCAAAAAGTGGCAAAAGAAATTCTGAAAACTCATGAGCGTCACTTACTGAAAACTTATATCTTTCAATCAGCAATTTGTCAAGTGGCCAAAATTTTAGCCTTCGAATCCTTTTTAGATCCCCATGCCTGTCAAAGAAATCCTTGGATTGAGCTCCAGCAATAGCAATCTGCAACTCACAAGCATTAGATATGCCACAATAGCTATTCAAGAAATAATATATACAGTGGGAGTGTACATACCTTCCGGGGAATCTTTCCAAGGAGTTCCATCATCAGGGCAAGGTGATCCTGAGATCAACACAAGGCACAGTTTTATTATTCTTGTAACACATGATCCGAAGTGTAGATAGAGACTGGTGCACAACAAGTTTAGGCAATCACAACAGATGTATGCTTCATCAACTACATGAATGATCATAATTTCCCTTTTTTTAACAGAGCAAATCAAAGAATAGTTCTGACTCCAGCAATTGTAGTTATAAATTATATATTAATAGCATCAAATTGATAGAGTGCGAGCCTTGGAGCAGCAAGAAGATTTCTCCTTTGTAATCGAAAGGTAATTTTGAGAAATAGTCTCTTTGCAAAAAATGCAAGGGTAAGTAAGACTGCCTACAATTGACTCTCACCCCTAACCTGGCAAAGTCTAGGAGCTTCGTGTACCCCGGGATTTGCTCTTTGCCCTTTAGCATGAAACTCATAATGCAAACACCTACATCTTGATCATTTTCTTTTTAACATGATCATCAAAGAAGAACATTTTAATGGTAGAAACTATAATTCTATAACTTTCTTATATAATTACTTCGAGTTAATATTAATTGATCGCTAGCATGAAACTTCAAATTTCACCTTAGGATTATAAAAACTCATTTTCAGAAATAAAAACAACACGAAATTTTCCAGAACCAGAGCACGTATTTTTTTAGTTCCTCTCTCACCAGAGGCGTAAAAGGATCATAGATAGATAGTGACAAGGAATATTTTTAGATAAATTGTAACACGTGACCATTCCCTGTAAAGTTATCACACATGATCTGGCAACAGAAGGAATATATAATAGTCCTGGCACTTGAGACAGAAATTATACAATTACTATCACAACTATTTTCTCCACTCAAATGAAAAAATGCTTAAAGCAAAGACTGTAGAAAATTTGTTAACCTGACATCTAATGCACTGGTATTACAATTGATTGAGCAAACTCTGTTCTTAAGTATCTTTTTATCTTTGTTTCCACAATAAAAGTAATATTATTGTATTTATAAATATTAATGATAAAAGTTAATATGATTCAACACTTCTTTTCATATCATTTCAGATAGTCACCTCCCATTAAAAAGGCCATGTGCTTCACACCAAATACAAACCAAACGCCTAATTTATTCCAGATAAAGTGTTGTGAACCTCCCCAAAAATTTAGCTAGGTTGCATATTTCCACAAGGACCATGCAAAGGTACATTTAGCTAGGTTGCTCCAACCAAATGTACCATAGTGTAGATAGGTTTCATATTGCCACACAAATTTAGCCTCTTTACTTTTACAGAACCGTGAAAGCTAATCATCAAGAAGACAAGAATTATATCAGGGACCTAGGGCACACCTAAAACACCTCTCAAGAACTCATTAACCAAATTCTTAAATCATGTTATCTATACATAGTTTTGTCTTCAGCAATGGCAAGGAAATTAAGATAAAAAGTTCATGCTAGAACATTTATCATAGATTATACATGCATAGGATTAAGAATGAAATTAAACCATAATAGTTTATTAGCAAAATCATCATACCTCATCCTCACTAAAACCTTGTCCACCCTTGGGTGTAAACAACATATCACCAGTGGCAAGCTCAAAAGCAATGCAAGCAAAAGACCACATGTCAACAGAGAAGGAATAGCCAGCCTTCAGTATAACTTCAGGAGCTCTGTACTGCCTTGTCTGTATTTCTTCTGCAAACTGCTTATTAGCCCAACATGCATTTCCAAAATCTACTATCTTGCATCTCACATCAATCCCATCAACATTTCTACCAGACTTTGCAGCTTCTCCTGTTCCTCCCATTGAGTCTCTTCTTCCAGATATCTTAGCAACTGCCATCCTTGCTCTCCTCTTCAACTTTTTTTCAATAAGACTTGAAAATCCACCATTTGTGTTTCCCTCAGGCCGCTCTAGAATTGGGGAGAGTCCAGATCTAAAAGGGTCTTTGGCAAGATCAATGGTTGAAAGTAGAAGAATGTTTTCAGGTTTTAGGTCAGTATGGATTATACCAAGTTCACTATGCAAGTAATCCAAACCAATCAAAATGTATTTGCAAATCTCCCTAACTTTATTCAATGGAAGACCTTTGTAACGGTTATATCTGATCAAACGAAGCAAGTTATCACCAAGAAACTCAAGGACCATGCAAAGGTGCTGCCCATTTGGACCTGTATGCTTAAAGTGGTCAATCAATTGGACAACATACTTCGAATTTGAGGGGTCACCTTCAGCAATGGTTGAAAGAACATCGATCTCATGAAGGGCAGACTGAACAAACTGGGCCGCACTTTTCTGGATCTTGAGAGCAACATATGACTGAAAACCACAATCTTAAAATTAGAAGAAAAAAAAATGAAAAAGCACATAGTGGTGCACAAAAATTGTAATAAGTCAGAAACAGTGAACAAGCCCAATCAACAAATGCAAAAGAATAATCAGAAGCAAGAAATAGCCCATGTTTAGGAAATACCATAACAAAAATAATAAAAGAAAATTATCATTTGGTTGGGGAAAACTCAACGAGAATACATGCATAGCCATAAATGCAAAGGATGGACTTGCAAGGTTCTTAGCAAGAGTGCCTGAGAGAATGTTGCCTTGCCGTGGAACCACCCCACCTGGATCAATGGATAGTGAAATAATGTGTATGCTATACAAGTTAAGCTTCTTCCATTTATCTTCTTTCTTTTGGCTCGGCCCATTTTTGTTTTCTATGTTCAAGCATGAACAAGATCCTACAAGAAGTCTATGGTGATTGTAGATATAAAAGACTCCTAAGCCTTAACGGTGAACTCCGCCGAATCAGCATTTAACTTCAGAACGACAATTATTTCCATTCCATATACAGCTCACTATAATATTTCCAATAAAATTAAATATATCTCTTCGATACAAAAGACAAATAGTGTCTCGGTTACCAAGGAACACAGAGAAATCTATGTACAAGAGCACCAAATCAGTATCAACGTGTTCAAACAGGTAGAGACACATTTATTGCTCCTCTGCATGCGGACAAATCTATGTAAACCAGGTGGTCACATTTTGCGAGGACCATCATCCCCCCTTTTTTTGGCTATTCCATCATGTAAGTATTTTTAGGCATTTGTGACACATGTTGAGCAAAAAGAATGGATCATAGTGGCAAAGGGGGAAAAAAATCAATATCAATAACCCAAATAATCTCAATTCGATCCATTTAATGAAACTACGCCCATAGGTCCGAAAATGACATCAGATATACACATAACAAGATACAGTAACAAGGTATCAGGAAAAAGGAAAGAATAAAGCAAGATCTTGGAACCTCCACACCATTCAAAGCAGACAATTTTAAACTAAGAAATATGCACACAATCACAACACAGCCAGCACACAAGTTCATAACTCCACCCTTCCCATAGATTCCAAAACCAATTGCATTAAGGAAACAAATTCAACAAATTTTCAAATCCAGAACACCAATCACAAGCCAAAATCATCTTTAAAAAAGAAAAGTGAGGGGAAATTCAAAACAACCCCTTTGGAAGGAAATGATTAAAAAAAAAAAAAAAAATCACAAAAGAAGAAGATTAGGGATCAAACATACAGAGGTGTTAGTATCGTAAGCAAGCCACACGGTGGAGAACTGACCCCAACCCAATTTCCTCTGCGCTATGTACCTGCCGCCGGCGAACTGATCGCCGACCCTGACGGCGTGGTACCCTCCTTTCCGATAAGAGTCGAATCCCTCATCATCTTCCTCCGACCCTGATGACGATGAGCAAGACATCACGCTCTGATCTATTCAGATTCGCCAAAACAAAATGAAAGATCTTATTTTTAGCTTCGAAATTGGTAATGATTCGTTTTTTCTCTTGTTTTATCAGATAAAGCTGTTTTCTTTTTTCTTGCTTGGACGTGAAGTCTTTGTTTAGGAGGTTGGAGTGTTTTATATTTGCGGTGTTTGTGTGTGTGGCCTTTGGAAATCACGTATGCAAGACCCTCTCTTCAAATTCTCCACTTTTTTCTCTCTGTGTTTTCTTTCTTTGTTCATGTGGGTGTTTGCTGTGAATGTGGGTCTTCCATTTTTCATGCTAGTCTAATTTCATAGCCAATCTTTTTTGTTACATTTGTACCCTTCATCTTCTTGGGTTGGAAACTTGTGCAATTGACCATTTTTGGGAATTTAATAAATGAGATTAATATTTAATTGAGGTAGACCAATTACATTTTTCAAGGGGTTATGGGTTGTTGTCCTTTGCTGCATCATGCAGCTGCATTTTTTAATTATACTTTTTCATGTTTTTATTTTTTATTTTTATTAGGCACACAAGGAACAAGCTATCTTACCATCCATGCTTTTATAGTTTTATGAGTTGAGAATTTTATTTTATTTGTTAGATTTGAACTTTTATATATTTAATTTTTATTTATTTGCTTTGAGGGGATGACAGTGGTAGAGTTTTCTTGATAGTGGTTATTCATTTATTTTTTAAATGGTTAAGGTTGTGGGAAATTTTTTATTATGGATACTGAGTTTGTGTGGAATATAAATATTCTTGGTTGAGTTGGTCGAGTGAAAGAATATAAATATGTTTAGTATTTTAATTTTTGTAAAATAGTTTTCAGATGCTGGTAAAGTGTGATTAAAGGGATTTACTAAAAAAAGTGTGATTAAAGGGAAAAAATGATATGTTTTTCTTTTGATATTTATATTCCACACAATTGAACATTGGCATAAAAATATTATTTCAAACATGATTGAATCTAAAAGACTTTAATTAATGCAAGCAGTGGTAAAATCACATGTCAACAAGGAGGTGTGCATGCAACTTGCTGGGGCAAAACAGAAGATATATAGTATTTTTTATGATATTTTACTGTTATTACAAAAATTTAAAATGAAATATTATAATATGTAGACATGGTCTAATAGTATTTAAGAATTCTATATTTGACACTTAATCACGGTAGGGTTCCTGAATAATAATGATCATTGAATAGAACTACTTGAAAATATCTTGGATATTTCTTATATTTTAAAATTTTTATAAATATATAAATATTTTATAAGTTAAATAAGAGAAGATTTAAGAATCTCATTTGCGGTATTTAAGTCCACCTTTCTCTCTGTGCACAGAAGAAGATGAAGTAATTATAGATTGTCTAGGCCTTATGCCGTAAACAAATTTACATTCATCTTCCTAACTATATTTTTTTTTTCTTTTGATCATAGTGATGCAAAATCTGAAATTATTAACTACATTCATATAAAATTTAAAAAATTTATCAAAATAATACAATAAGATGTGAAAGAATTGTGAGCGTTCAAGCCGTGTATGGAGTGATATACAACTTTCAACTACGCCACATGACAGACATGCATTTATTTATGCACAAGTCGCACATCTCACCTATAAATAACTTCAACGCGCACGACCCCCTTACACGTCTCATTACACTATTTTGATAAAATCTTTAAATTTTAAATCAATTCTATAAAAAAATACTCACTTATATTAAATGGGTCAAAAATATTTTTTAAATGTAAGGTTAAACTTAAAAAAATAATATTTATTTTGATGTCCCTCTTCAAAATTATAAATTAGGGCATCATAAATTATCATTGTGACCCACATTGTTTTCTAAATTTTTGAACAATTAGTCTTTGCCGTGTTTGACAATTATTACCTTCCATAAAAAAATTCTCTTAAGACTATTATCTCATATACTTTAAGGGGAACGATATTGTGACAACTAAATTGTGTTACTACCAAGTGACTATCAATTAATCTCACCGTTAGATCGATTATGTTGATCCAACGGTTATATTTATTTCTATCTTTGTATGGTTATGATTTCCCATATTTAAAGTGAAAGCATTAAATATGAAAAATCATAACCATACAAAGGTAGAAATAAATATAAAGTATTAAATTTGGGAAACCATGACCATACAAAGATAAAAATAAATATAACCGTTGGATCAACATAATCGATCTAACGATGAGATTAATTAGTAGTCACTTGGTAGTAACACAACTTGGTTGTCACAATATCCTTCCCCGTACTTTAAAAACAACTTTAAGTTGAACTAAGAAATTTTACTATTTCACATATTTAATAACTTGTTTTTTACTGCTATTGAGGAACTATTTGATGTTAAATATTCTGTTCATCATCCTAAATACTTTTTTTGTTTTAGAAGAATTTAAGATCAATCTCTAACTTCTTAATATTTTTAATCAATGTCAATATATTTCAAACTACTCATTTAATGCCTATTACAAGTATGCAACATTTAACCAATAACTCATGATTTAATTGTTGTCTTTATTATTGAAGCTACTAAAGAAGATGCCAACTGCTCTTAATGACATTGTATTTAGGCGAAAAGAAGTTATAATATTTTACAAAGTTAAATTCAAAAACCTAATTACAATTTAAAGTGATTTAGAGCTCAAAGCAAGAAATAACCAATATAGTTGCCATTTTAGAACCATGCTTCTGGTCATTGAATTGCACCAGGAAAAAAAAGACTAACCTATCTGTCTATAATTAGGTCAAACATGACAATAGTCAATAGGTATTGCTCAAGGGCGAGGATTTCACTTTGATTTTTAGCTATGAAAATGCAAAAGTATCAGTAATGCACATATGGCATGAATCAAATTTCAAACAGTAACTAAAGGAATATTTCTCAAAGTTGGGGTACATATCTTACCTTTTCTTTACACATTTCTTATATTCAATTCCAACAAAAAGGAACTGCCAGTCCAAAAATAGAAACTTGAGCGGTAATTTTTACCAAAAAATAACAGCATAACCACAACAAAGAATAGGTAGCTCTATTATTACAGATGAACATTATCATATTCAGTAAACAAAATACTTCAGAGCAGCATCAAATCTCATAGAGAACCTAAGTAAAATAGTTCCTGCTCCATTAAGGAAAACCAAGTTTATCTATCGGCATGTGACATTTTAACATAAAAAAAATCTGAATTTCATCAAGCACAGCTGTTTCCAATATAACTGGAATAAAGAGGTTTTCTACCAAATCAGGCCTTAGGGGAAAAAATCTCCATTAAGGTAGTCCAGGTTCCGGAAACTGCAATAACGAATCCAAAGACCACAATTGCTCCATCCAAAACTAGACATCTCCAACCCAACTCCTCCTTGAAAACTATACAATGAAACATAGCAGGCAATACAAAGCCAAGAACAACACAGATGCTGCTTCCTACAAGGGATATAAAATCTGCAAAATTAGGCACCAAAAGTGCCACCAAGCTTACCAACAACACAATCAACCACCTCAGCCACAAGCAGTATCTAGAGGCACAGAGCCGTCTCTCAACCACCTCATAAACAGGGTTCATCATCAAAGGAAAAGTGAAGAACAGGTTGATGCAAAGGCCTAACTGTACCAGAGCACTTATCAGCCCTGGACCCAGATTAGTAGTGATAATATCTTTGGTTTCTTCACCAAAAGCAAAGTAACCCAAAGCTCCAAAAGCACCAAACAAGAGAGAAATAAAAGTCATCCCCAAAGCCAAGACTCCACCAAATTTCTCTTTGTCCTTAGTCTCAGATTCTAAGGGCAAAACCATTCCTATGCCTTCAAACGCATACACAGCCACACCTATCCCATAGAAAAACACAGAGAAACCCCTAAAAGTCTCCAAAGCAGGCCTATTCTTCAGAAAAACAAACACATCCTCCACCATCACAGCACTCTTAGCTGAAATATCAACAACATCAGCAAATATACTCAAAGGAGCCAAATGGGTCAGAGTACGAATAGAATTCAACCCCAATTGAAACGGAAAACAAGCCCACAGAAACAAAACCTTCGGCGTCAAACCAAGAAAAACCGGCGCCGTTTCTCCGGTGAGAAACGCTAAAGTGGTGGAAATGAAAATAAGGTAGCTCACACAGAACCCTGATTGAGAAAGCACGATCATGGCGTCAACGAGGAATCTACCAAATGGGCCACAGATGGCGAAGCCCAGATCGCCAAAAGAACCGATTTTGGAGAACCCCATGATGGATTCGAGCTTGCGGCGAGTGCGAACAAGGAGCATCATGCAGTAGTATGTGAGAAACGCAACTATGAAGAGCATGAGTAACCCCATGACCCAACCCGTTCTCTTGAAGCTATAGGGTAGGCCAAGGACTCCAGCGCCTACTATGGCGATGAAGATGTTTGCGAAGGTCTTGAATTTGGAAGAGAGAGGTGGTGCCTTGGCGAGAAGAGGAGTATCTTCTCGTGGGTAAGGTGGTAGTGAATAAGATGATGAACCTGCTTCATTCTCAAACCCCATTGGTTTCAAGTAATTGATTGTGATTCTGTGAGTGGATATGCTTTGTTTAATCTGTGTGATTCTGAGTTGTTATGTGGCTATTGAATTGAATCTGCAGCAGAATGAAATTCTGATAAGTTGAAGGATTCTTGAAGATGGTGTATTGAGTTTGTGATTGTAATGATCTTGACCCGACTTAAGACTTTACGAGATATGTACGCAAACGCTAATATAACAATGGATTTTATAAGAGTTATATAGTAGGAAAAGTGACTGTGTTCTGTTATAGATATTTGTTTTGTGTGTCGGAGTTTTATTTTTTAAAAAAAAAAAATTGCGGGTCCCACAAAATATTGTGTGTAGAAAAATTGTTGTGGTCATATTAAATGATAGATGCAAAATTCTATAATAATATAAGGTGGAAAATGTGAACTTAATAATAAGAAGAAGAAAATATTATTTTATTACAATTAAGAGTTCAGGTGGAACTTGCCAATGTCCTTCCCTGCTAATTTCGAGTTTATAGTTGAAAGTTTTGAATCTGATCCCATTCCACCGTCTGCATCTCAAATCTAATAAAATAATCCTATTGGTTTATTAGATTTGTAAATGATGATATAATCAACCAACATTAATAGCGGCGGCTATGGTTTATTAGATTTGTGTGTCTGTGTCGTTACATTGTTCAATGTTAACTTAAAGAAAAAATATTTTGTTATGTTATAGCCTTATTGGAGATGTTTTTTTCCTCTACTAATGATCTTTTTATTTTTGTACTGTATTTCTTTTAATATAAATATAGGCCTCATATAAGATGTGTATTATTCTCGTATAAACAATTTTTATGGGAGATTTTTTAGTTTAACAAAAGTTTTTCGAGTGCTTGTATTGTTTTTTTAATAAAAATATAGTATGTGTATTATTTTTTATACTTCAATTATGAAATTTTTGAAAATAAGAATGAAATAATCAAAAAATAATACACAAGTCATATTTTTATTAAAAAAAATAGGAAAAAATTACTCTCATGTTACATAGGATAAATTTCTCGTCTTACATACCTTTCGATAACTGTGTCATTTTTTTATTTTTTTTATTTTTCAGGTGATGGAGCCCACAAATTTAACTCTATGACATAAGATAATTTATCTCTTTTAACATGAGATTAATAATACCCATAAAAATATCACATATACCTAATAAACTTTATTTACGTTTTTTGTTTTTTTAGTTTCACATATTTCGTCATGCATTGCTAGAAACCATTTTTAACGTAATGCATATCTAAATATTACAGATGCATCAATTATCAACCACAAAAAGAATATTATATGATGCATCGACACTGACACGGGACACGAGACACGATATGTCGATACGTTAATTTTAAAAAATGTCATATTTTGACACGTTGAGACACGTTTTGATATTAAATATTGTTTTTAATATATATAATGTAATTTATATTTAATACATATAACAGCACATAATAAGTCATATAAACAATCAAATATTCAAATTTCATAATATAAATATAAAAAAATAATAATTTTTCATACTTTGTTAATTTTTCATATCAAATTTCGTTACAAAAAAAATTGATTTATAAATTATTTTTTTATATTTAATTAATAAAATAAAATATAGACCTAAAAAAAATGTGTTGGAACGTTGACCGCGTGTCGAAAAAAGTTGACTGCGTGTCGGAGCGTTGATCGCGTGTCCCAAAATGTTGAACTTGTATGAGCATGTCGCGGTATCGGTGTCCCACATGACCACATCTGTCCGACACACATTTTTTTAAAATTTGTGTGTGTCTGTGCTTCATTAATATTTACAACCTCTTTTTGCTTATCATATCTTACAACTAAATTTAATTATTTATTTTCACTAATCTAACGATTATAATTAAATAAATCATATTTATTTAATATTTTTTAAAAATTAATTAATTATTAATTTCTAATAAATTATAATCGTTAGATTGATAGAAATTAACCGTTAAAATTTAATCATAACAGATTATAAGTAAAAAAAGTTATAAATATAACCCCGCCTCTCTCCAAATATATGAAGTTCAAACGTAATACAATTTTTTTCGCCAACAATAATGTTATAACCTGAAGGGGGTTCTCATAGTTGTGTCATTCAGGCATAAACATATCATCACTCCTCTCCACCACAAGAAAACAATTTTTAGTGTTTTGGGCGTATGTGCTCCTTCTGTTAAGGAATTGACATAAAACAAATATTTTTTTTCAAGAAATTAAAAAAAAATATTTTTTTTTCTCTCCTTTTTCCTTAGCCATTGTTCAATTTTAATTGCTTCGTACCACTGCATCAATAATGTTTCCAAAGCACCAAAATTCTTCTCCACAGGAAGAAAGAAGTCGCAGGATGAAGCATCCCATAAAAAAGGAAAAATATGTGATTAAAAAAAAAGCTCTTTGTAAGACATTTAAGTAACGTTTTATTGGACTTTCAGTGTGGATGACCTGATTTTTATAAAACTTATTATTAAAATCTATACATATCATATAATATCAAGTTGAAAAATGCATATGTAATAAATAGAAAAAGAAATGAACAAAACAATTAGAATATAAAACGTTACATATGCTACAGATATTATCAAGGAAAGAATTTTTCTTAATTTCTTAAAAATTTAAATGGAGTTAGATATCAATATTTTATCAGAATTAGAAAAGACTCTTAACCTCTTTGAAAAATTATATATAACTCCACTAATAAAGTTCTGATATCAATCTAATGGATTGGAACCCATATCTTTATAAGATATGAATCAAATCCTCAGCGAAATGTACTTATCTTTTTTTGTTTTAATAAAATGTACTTATCTTTGTCGGCGAGAAAGGATTTTTCTAACATTATATTTTACATCATCCTTTATAACTTGGAACTACATTCATAAAAGACCAAAGAAAAGGACAGCCACTTTATGTCGATTCTTTACACCTTTCAACAGACGTGTGTAAGTTTTGTACCATCATTCATGTTCACTAGAAGCTAAGAAAAAGCATTGGAAATTATCTTAAAGATGAGGAGCAAAGCAAAAAAGCTAAATATCCAGGGCGTAAGACAGTGACAGGCTAACTACACTTGCCTAGCCATCACCAACCAAACTAGTCAAGTGTCCGTGTGCCCATTGATGAGTTTGAACTTTGACGTCATCCAGTTCATTATCTCATGTTGTTTAACAACACTAAGAAAATGTGAAATATGTGACTTCTGCATAACAAGAAGCTACACAGATAGATAAGAGGCAGCTATTGAGCTGTGATCTCAGGTTGAATCAAAACCATGATGCTAGAAAAGGAAAATGAAGAATAATAGTGTGGACTATGGAGAACCAAGAAGAATTTAGTTCACACTTAGAAATGGTGAATTCTGTAGAAGACAACTCAATATTTCACCCAAGAGGACTCCACCACGTTATGGAGACCCATAATTGCTGGGATAAGGTCTGCAGGAAGTGCTTAATGTTATATTTAAAAACCGTTGATAAGCATTTACACCGTTTCTACCTAGTAAATTAGGGAGGTAGTGATGGTCACCTACCCAAAACTTATCAACAAGATTGCACAAAGGGACATGTTTTCAGCAGATCAAATGTTTTCAAAGATTTTATAGTTTTTAGAAGATTTCGTCACAAACTTACAAGTTACAAGAATACGTATTTAACAGGGTAGTGAGTATTAAGAGTGTTAACCTAAGAAATTAATTGCGGAGGCTAGTTTGCACAAATCTCTATCACTATGGGGGACAGAGTACAGTATATCTAAGGCTATCTGTGTCAGTCATCAATATAATGGTGTATACTAATATCTTCCTTGAAGTTCAGCAAAAAATCTGAAATTACACCGGACAAACTACTTCTGCTGAATTCAGATGATCCATCCAGAAATAATCTACGAAATTTCCCACATAAAACCAATAACCCATATGGTATTGACAATATAATGCTGCAAGCTGATGTCACAGTTGTTCAAGTGAAACCACCACTGGGAACAAATTTAAATTTTCCCTAATCCACCAGAGCAGAGATCACTAAAGTAGGTCATCTATGTTGAACATTTTCTTACTGAAATGTTTTTCTTGGCTCAGATTGTGTAGCAGTGAATTCCAAATAAGAAGGTCGGGAAGGATGCCCTTCCCAACCATTTCTATAAAGACCTGCAAGGCTTTCTGAAGGTCCTCCTTCCTACATAGGACATCAATCAAAGGACTGTAAGTTTCTGTATTGGGTACACAACCTCTTGCGGTAATGTCTTCCATGAACTTCAAGGCACTCTCAACTTTTCCTTGTCTGCAAAACTCAGTGATGACAGCATTGAAGGTAGATGGAACGGGAAAACAGTTATTAGCAATCATTTCATTCATCAGCTCAACTGCCTCTCGGACACTACCTTCTTGGGAAAATCCATGAACAAGGCAGTCATAAACTAGAATACTTGGAATTCCACCTTCATTAATCATCTGATCGTATACCCTCTTTGCATCCTCAACAGTCCCCTCCTTGCAGTGCTCTAAAATCATCAGGCTTCTGTCAACAGCTCTAGGGAACAATTTTGCCATCTTTATTAGAAACTCAGCTGCCTCATCACAATGATTTTGTTTAAATAGACCATATAGTATGCTATTATAAGGACTGATGTGCCCTCTAGAGCCTTCTTTGCTTTCCTCCATTAGCTCCAAAATAGAAAAACCATCTTCGATTCTTCCTTCTGAACACAAACCTCTAATTATTGTATCAAACGTAATGAAGTTCCATTTGATCCCATCTGTTTTCATATCATTAAAAAGATTGAGAGCCAAATCCAACATCCTAGACTCACAAAAACCAGATATCAGTATATTATAGGTATCTACATTCGGAAGATGGCCTTTACTCTCCATCTGCTTCAGGAAATGAAGTCCAAGTTTCACTTTTCCCGCTCCACAAAACCCCTTAATCAAGGTGTTGTAAGCCACAACATCGAGTGAACCTCCCATGCCCTCAACTCTCTCTAAAAGCTCAGCAGCCTCTGTTACACGGTCAGCATTGCATAGAATTTCCACCACCTTAGTTATGGTAACAACATCAGGCACAAAACCCATGCCAAAGCTCTTCTCCAGCAGCACAAGAGCCTGAACCAAATTCTCTTCTTTACAATACCCAGATATCAAAATATTAAAGGTAACATCATTGGGCTCTTCCATCTCATTCACCAAGCTCCTAGCCCTCCCAATTTTCCCATTCCTACAAAGTGCATGGAGCAAAGTGTTGTAAATCACAGTGTTCGGGGTTACCCCCCTAGACTTGATGAGCTGCAAAAGCTTAAAACCTTCACCTATCCTATTTGTGGAACATAACCCTTTCATTAAAATACCAAAAGTATAATCATCCCCTTCAACCCCACTTTCCATCATACTCTTCCTATAAAACTCCCTAGCTATGTCAATGTCCTCCTTGACAAGGACATCCAAAATTGAGTTGAAAATCTTCAAAGATGGGTTGCCATGAAACTTGTACACCAAGTCAACAACTTTGAGGACTCTTCTAATCATTCCGGCACGGCCGAGGCCACGGATGATGGTGATGAAGATGTCGTCGCCGGGGGGAGAGCCTATTGAGTTGGGCATTTCGTCGAGCAGTTGCTTGACATTGTCGAAACGCCGAAAAGCACAGAGCTTGTGGATCAAGGCGCGGTATGTGGATTGAGAATGAACGTAGTTTGGGATTGTGGAGGCCCATCTGAAGGTTTCAATCGCCTTGGAAGCGGATTTTTGGTCTAGAATGAGCTGAGAAACATGCTCATGGCTTGGGACTGAAGAAGAATTTGAAGATGAATGCACTGTGAAACACCTCAGAAAAGGGGTTGAAGAGAATTTAGAAAATGACAACGCCTTGCACAGTTTAAGCATCTTATGATGTCTCTGCTTCGCCAAAACTTACTTTTGGAGTTGAAAGGAAAATAGGACAATCTTCGAGCATTCTGGAAGCAACAATCATTCTCGCCAATATGACCTTTTTTCATGTTTGTTTGTTTGTTTTTTTTATTTTGGGAAAAACTGCCTCTTAAAAAAAGTAAAAGAAAAAAATATTAAATCAAAATGGGTCAAAAATAGAATGATAACAAAAATTTCATATAATCCTCTAATTTTTTTTTTAACTGATTAACTCTTTTTTTAACATGAGGGTAATTGAATATTTATGTTCACATGAGTCTAGTATTTATTTATTTAATACTACAGGTATAAATAAGTCACACATCTTGTGAGGGGCTTATGACCTAACTTACATTATGTTAGACTTGACTTAATATATATAGTTAAATGGAGAAGGTTATACTTACAACCTATTTTCTTTACAACCTCTTACAACCATATATCTTAACCGTTGACTTTCATCAATCAACAGTTAAGATTTTCGCAAATTAAATTTATTAATTAATTATTAAATCACAATAAATGATAACCGTTGATTGACAGAAATCAACGATTAAGATATATGATTGTAAGAGGTTGTAAAGAAAATAGGTTGTAAGTATAACTTTATCTAGTTAAATAGATCATGCTTAAACCTTTTAAAAAGATATGCCATAAACTTTCTTTTAATAGGCTTATAAGCCTATAATTTGGCAAATATTATTATTATTATTTGTTTTAAATAAAACAAATAAAAGTATTATTTAAATAATTTTGAATAATAAAATAATACTATTTTAATTATTTTTTTAATTCTTGAATTTTTAATAGGCTTATCAAGTTAAAAGATCAAGCGAGACATAAAATATTTTACATAAATTTGACATATTTAAGACAAGTTTGGCTCGATCCAACTCATTTACATCCCTATTTAACACTAGGATAAAGTACCTTTCGAATTTTCAACAAATATCACAAGACTCAATTTAATTCTTTATGGAAAAAAGTGGACTCGTGGTCCCTCGAAATTCAAAATAGATTCATGTTTATATTTTTGAGGGACTAACGTGGATCTTTTTTCAATTTAGAGAGACTACAATTTTGATTAAGTGAAACTACTTTGAATTTCGGAACAACAACAACTAGATTTTCTTTTTCTAAAGGATTAAAATAGGCATCATGATATTTTTTGACCACCAAAAAAATACTTTACTCTTAACACTATCAAGCTTTTTTATTTTTTCCTTTTTTTTGAGATTCAATCCATCTATGAGCTGTTATACAACAAAGTTGAGTGTACATTGTATTATAGCTTTAAAAGTAACACTCTGTGTTTTTTTATGCCAAATGCAGAAGTGCCGTTTGTTGGTTTTCTTCTACTAAACGTGAAAACAAGTCAAAGTCAACAATAAATAAAAAGGTGAATATTTCTTACAAATTTACAATGGCTCAAAAAAGATGAAAAAGATAAATTAATAAAAGGAAAAAAAAAATACAAAACATTTACTTCATAGTTCTTTTCACCTGTGAATGAAAGTTTCTGTTGTATATTTGTATCCCTTCTCACCATAGAAAATGAGAAAACTGGCAGAAGGAGACTTATTGACGAGCCGTTTCTCAAAAATTGGACTTGAGAAGCTTGCTGTGTATACAAGGCCTAAAGAATGTCTAAAGGAAGCTGGGTGATATAGTTCTTGTAATAATCATATAGTACAATACAAGTGAAGAAGGCTCTGAATCTGATTGGTACTTCCAAATTCAAGTTGTGAAACATTATATGATTGACATTTAAGCAAACAACAATCTTCAAAGGCAGCAGCAGGGATAGCAGTTAGTCAGAAAAATCCCCACATATTTTATGAACACTCAACTCAATCTGTACAAATCACTAACAAGTTTTATTCATCTCCCATTCAAGACACCCTTGAGAAGATCAAGGCCTTCAGCTGAAATACTCCTCCTCCTATGTGATCTAGGAATTTCAATTTTAGGAGGTGGATCTTTAGAGAAACATACCACAACAACTGTAAGATTGTCACATGTGTTGCGTTGGAGGGCCTCAGTAACAAGTGCCTTTGCACATGTTGTGGGATCATTATGCTGCATGAGTTCCCTCCTCACCATTGTAACAGCACACTGGCTACTCATCACATCCCATAATCCATCACAACCCATTATAAAAAACTCATCTTCTTCTGTCAACACAATCTCCTCCAGCTCAGGCTCAGAGCTTAAGGGACTTTTAGACCCCTTTGAACCTTTTATGTGCCAATCTCCAAGAGCACGAGCCACTGATAATTGGCCATTGAGGTATCCATCATAGATCACACCACCCAGTTTCTCAATTCTTAATCTTTCGGAAGTGCAATTTGGTTTATGGTCTTTAGAAAGTTCAATGGCTCTTCCTCGTTTGCTCAATACAGCACGAGAATCCCCAGCATTGGCAATTAGCATGGCCCTGCAAAATTACAACATCAAGAATGTCCATGACAAAAAAAAAAAAAAAGAGAGTAATTGAACAACTATTACTTTACAACAGCTAGCATATATGAAAACCCATATGCAAGAAGCAAAAGGGCATAGGTCTGAATTGAGAATAACATGGTCTTTAGTCCTCACCTTCCCAACACAATGGCTACTAGAGCGGTGGTGCCTGAAGAACTATCAAGAGCACTAGCATCTCTTAATGTAAGATCAGCCTTCACAAATGCACTCTTAACAGCTTTCTTAAGGCCAGATGGAAAATTGGAATCTTCGATTATAAACTTAAGGATGTTCTTTCTGGTGAATGATGCTGCATCAATACCACCATGTCCATCGAATACCTGTATATTAACAGTACACACAACTTCCATGAGTTTCTAAAAAGGCATGCAAATGGCTAGCGGATTAGAATATTAACCAATGCATATAGTCAACTAAATAATTTCTACAAGATGAAGTTCCTGTTTTAATTGTTGTAAATCTTTTAGGCCCATGTGGTTAATCAGTGACAGGAAATTCATTTGTATGACCTGGAAATAAGTATCTTGGAGATTACTCCACTTATGAAGAGAATCATTCCATTAGGTAAATAAAATGATCGATTTAACTCAACATGAAGATACATACCCCATACAATGCTGCTGGAGAAGGAAGGTCCTCTTTTGGACCAACACATTCATGAAGAGTATCAGCACATATGAACTCATCCTCCATGTACTGCTTTGGTCCTTTATCAGAGCTGCTTCCAGACCGCAATATAGGTGAAAACTCAGATTTTTCTTCTGTGCTTGATTTCAAGCCAATAATATCAATATTTGATTCCTTGACAAAAAATAATTATTAGTTAAAACTATAACAAAATATTTCGGTTTAAAAAGTATACCACAATTTGAACAAATAAACAACCCATTATCTTTCTATGGAACTACTTCAAGGTTCTTTACATGGTATCAGAGCCTCGCCGCCCCCCACTTTCTCTTGTGGCGTTTCTTAGCACAAGTAGGCTGGGCCTGTTGCATTGTCCACTCTTCAAGCTCAATGGGTTCTCGTGTGAGGGGGCGTGTTGAGATATATAGTCCCACATTGGTTGTATGTGCAACTAATGTGGAGTTTATAAGGTCTTGGGCACTCCCACCCTTTGAGCTAGCTTTTGGGTGGTGACTTCAAGGTTCTTAACAGAACTAAAAATGCATTTCTCTTTCCAAGCTTTCACAGACATAGACACTCTTCTTGAAACAAAGTGGTCAAAACAGGGATATGAACTAACATACACAGGAAGTTGCTCTAAAGTTTAACAGGAAAGCGCCATGTTACCAGCTTCCAAGGGAAACTATCCTAATACTGCAGCTTCTATTATCATCCACAAAAATCACTAGAAACTTTATTGACATTTTGCAATTAGCTTCAGATTCAGTAGGATCCTAGCCTCTTCTGTAGTACAACAACTAATAAGTCCCAATAACTAAGGAAATAATCTGTTCTAAGCCTTCCTAAATCCTAGATTTCTATCAAATTTCGCTTTCATATATGCAAAATGAAAAGCTGTCCTAAATCCTAGATTTTGGGTGGTGACTTCAAGGTTCTTAACAGAACTAAAAATGCATTTCTCTTTCCAAGCTTTCACAGACATAGACACTCTTCTTGAAACAAAGTGGTCAAAACAGGGATATGAACTAACATACACAGGAAGTTGCTCTAAAGTTTAACAGGAAAGCGCCATGTTACCAGCTTCCAAGGGAAACTATCCTAATACTGCAGCTTCTATTATCATCCACAAAAATCACTAGAAACTTTATTGACATTTTGCAATTAGCTTCAGATTCAGTAGGATCCTAGCCTCTTCTGTAGTACAACAACTAATAAGTCCCAATAACTAAGGAAATAATCTGTTCTAAGCCTTCCTAAATCCTAGATTTCTATCAAATTTCGCTTTCATATATGCAAAATGAAAAGCTGTGTATGCTGCACAGGTTTTAAATTACAAATTATGCTGAGGTATCATTCATAGGTTAAACTCTATCTCATTTCAGCTGCGACATCTTAAAAAACATAGAGTAGCTATAAGTCAATAGTCGAGATCGATTATTTTAATCAAAGAAAGAAGGGGACAGCTAGTAGTTCAAAGCTGCATCATCAATTTATCAGAATGTACGATGATACTTGAACTCACTTGACTCCAACATGTTCATTCAGACATCTGACTCATTAACTTAGTGGCATGCAGCACTTTATAATTTTCTGCTAGACAATTTAAGTAGGGGGAAAAGAAAAACGTAAGTTTGGGGGATGCAAATGCTGATCCAAAACATACAGGTATGCTGCAAAATTCGTCAGCATATTCATCCTCACCAAAGTAACACCACAACAAGCGTGAATATAAAAACAACATGGGATTTCATTATACTAACCGATTCAGCCAACCATGAAGAGCTGCTGCAATGGCGCATAACCGAATGATCCCTTGGAGGTTTCCCAATATTTTGATTTAAATTCCCCACAGTATCACCATTCTGATCCTCCATGGCATAACGACCACTCAATATAGTTGTTTGAGACGTGCAATTAGTCCCTTGTGCCATCCTTGTCCCATAACACAAATCTCCCAATCACCCCAAAACCAAACAAGAGCTTAAAGATTTGTCCTTTACCACAAGTTTCCCAAAGAAGAAAACTTTTTTAAAAGAAAACTGCCACAGCCGACAGAAAATCCATTTTTTAAACAACCCCAGAAGATCACACAGCAAGAAACAGCTATTCCAAACGTGGTTTGCACTTGATCCAAGAAAAAAGCCAACACTCAGGAAAACCCAACAACGTGAGAGACACAACACAGATCACATGAACATGTTCTTTTGGGACCAAGGGATGAAAGAGAGTATCCTCTATTAGTTTGTACAATTTATAGAACCAAACACATGGTCGTGCCAATGTCGGAGCTTTGTAGCATTAGAGATCAAAGGGTGAACGAAGAATAAAGAGCAGAAAAACGAAGACCCAAATAGAGAGAGAGATAAATGGATATGAGAGAGAAGTGGGAACCGTTAAGAGGAAAAAAGAAGTGGCAGGTAAATATATATCATTATAAACTGATTGGCAATTGCAGGTTTTGCGCTCGCCATTGTAGCGCTTGAAAGGGAGATTGCGCAAGTTACACGTGGCTTCTTGTGCTCGCCATTTGTGTTCATTGGTTGACCGTATGGCCTTGTGGCAGTGCGAACATCTTAGAATCTTTTGATCTACATTTTATTATATGAATGTATAAATTCCATTTTAATTTCATTTTTCTGTTATGCCATATAGATTTTATCTAGATTTTGTCTTAATGCATTAGTCTAACCACGTTTGGTACAGAAGAATTTTTTTTTTTCAAAAATTTCGATTTTCAAAAATATAATTTTTATTATAATAATATTCAAAAATTAAAAATTTTAAAAAATTTAATTTTCCAAAAATTCAAAAATATGCCGCGTACCAAACTCCCTCCTAAACGTACATAAAATTTGATTCGATTCACTTTCTTTCTGATGAAATGATTATCTTACTTTTTAAATTGAGATGATTTAGTGATTTACTCTTTTAAAGGCAACATTTTGAAGTATAAGAGTGTGACCCATATGAAACAAAAAAAAATTGTGCTTTGTTACAATAAGAGATGACAAAATGGGTCGCACGTAGGGATGATAAACAAGTTAGGGGTCTTTGGCTCATTTCGTGAAGGTCTGAGCTTATATGTCTAATATTGGTTATTAGAACCAGACTTGGACTTGTATAAAAGCTCGTTTAGTAAAAAGACCTCAGGTTCCAATTCAAAAGTTCGACGGCTGGCCTAGTATATTAATTTTTATTTTTATTTACATTTTTTATATTATTTGTAATAGCTCTCTCTCCTCTCAATTCATTTCACCTCTATTTTATTAGTTAAACAGACTTTTTGAATGATTTTGTTCTATATTATATTTTTTGGATATATATTGAATTTATGAATATTTAAAGAATTACTAGTGTTGTTGATTGTATATTCTGTTTGGATAAAATTTTATTGTCTTATTTTTTTCTAACAGGCTAAATCAGGCTTCTTCTTTTTTTTTTTTGTAAATAAGGCAGGTCACAGGCCGATAATTATATTCGTAACAGGTAACAGGCTTGGTAAGGCCAACACATTTAAACACAGGCTTAGCCTTTTAAGACCAAAGTTCGGCTCGTCCCGTTAACACCCCTAGCCGCACGCCATCTTCCGTCATCAATTTATTTACAAATGAATCAATTTGTCCCGTCCTGTTTTTTATAGTGAGCTAAGCAAGTCAGCACGTCTCGTCTCGTTAACCCGTCTATTTTTTTTTTTAGTTTTCTTTCCTTTTTTATTATTTAATTATAATTTTAATGTTTTCTTCAGTTTGTGATGTTGTTGCATTTTTTTCCATATATTTTTTTTAAAATTTTATTACACTAGTGTAGTTTTTCATTTACTATTAATCTGACAGTGCAGCACCATCATTTCTCAACATTAATGGTCAATTTTTATCAATAAGAAATTATTAGAATAATAACTTATCACTTTACTATGTATTTTTCTTTATTTTTAAATTATATTTTATTCATACGTTAAGTTCCAATAAAAAAATAAAATTAATCGTAGAAGCAATAACATTTTAGCTTTTTAAAATAGGTTCGGTTTTTCTACGATCAATGTAGATAATTCTTTTACATTGAGTCTAAAACGGCGTCGTTTAGAGGCGGAAATCAAGATATTTTGTAATTATAATTTATTTCAGGGTTATAATAGTCTTTTTTATTTTTATTTTTTTAATTTTTCAACCCAAAACGACGTCATTTTGGGAGCGAATGTATTATATTTCACTGTAGAAACATTGAAGCCTTCTAGGAATTATAGAATTTTATTTTTTTAGTTGCTTAAGTATAGTGGTAAATAAATTTTTATAACAAAGAGTTCAGAAACAGTTGGAAAATAATGTAAATTAAAACCTTTAATTAATCGCAAGAGTATTTGCTTTCTATATGAAAATCCATAATTAAACATAAAAGCATTTCATATACGGGGACTTGGAAACTGTAGCTAACAAATGAACAAACCAAAAAAAAAAAAAAAAAAATCTAAAATAGACGAATATTAGCCCCTGTAATATAGGCTCATTTTTAACCTTTTGTTCAAGCAGTGTCCTCCTCAAATTCTGCATTAAACCTTTTGTCTAATGCTTCAATTATCTTTCCTTTAGTATGCAGGCCCCCAAACCCAATTAATCAGATTAACCATTTCCAAGCACAACCACTCCATAGCTGAAAACATCAGCTTTATCAGTTCCCATTGTTCCAGCAGTTAATGACGAAACAGGGCTCTTATCATGATCCAAATTTGGTAAAATATTGACTTATATATAGTGCTAGTTTACATGTATCGGTCCGAACAGGACTGTCTAATTTCCGACACATGAAATGAAAGGGCAACAAAGGCAGCAGATGGTGATTGTATAAGACCAATTTATTCTACCCCAACGATCATTAATCAATCAGAACAACCAACCAGGAAACAAGGGAAATGCTACATCAACAAGGCCATCATATATGCCCAGATGGCAAAACAACTATATAAAGACAAAATTATATAGCACTTTAGTATGATAAGAACAATATAAATCCAATTCTGCAAGAATTTAAGTGGTATGCCCAAACTGAAATACTGTCCAACTCAATATGCCAACTTGCCACATAAGGCTATCTACAAGTGTTGAGTAGTTGACGGAGTAAAAAACAATAAGCTACATCCAGTTATATGCTAAGAGTATTCATTAAAAAATAAAAAAATAAATTTTTTATCACACTCACTGAAGTAGGCAATGATAAGTGTGCAGTTTGCAGCAAAATGAATTAAGGAGGTTTCAAATACTGTTTCTAATCTGTTAACAGCATTATTCTCTTGATAAGGTTGTTGCGGTTTGTTATGGCTGCATGTGCTGGTTGCTGCCATATTATTTGGTTGTTGCAAATATGTTCAGTTATAGTTTTCGATTGTATAGGAGAGCCATATATTTCGGTTATAGTTTGTTTGTATATTATTTTCTGTTTTGTAACAGCAAAGCTTTGTAACATCAAAAGTCTATTTAAGAGACTTCATACGAATGAATCAAACAAGAAATAGTTTCACAAAATCCTTTATGGTATCAGATTAAAGTACGATCCAAAATTTTCTTCCGCTTACGTCTTTTTTTCTTTCTCATTTCCGCATGGCCAATTTGGAGTCTTCCCCTAAGTCTGCGGCAACTTCAAACACAACTAAACCTATTCAGAAATCTGACATACGCTCCCCATTTTATGTTGCTCCATCTGACAACCCTGGTGTCTTACTCACCAATGTCCTTTTACGAGGAGATGCTAACTACGATAATTGGAGCAAAGCCATGAAGAACGCTTTGCAAGCCAAGAACAAACTTGGCTTCATCGATGGCTCTGTGAGTGCTCCTGAGGATCCAGATTCTGATGACGCTCATTTTTGGACCGTTTGTAATTTGATGGTCAGTGGCTGGATCCATAATACAATAGATCCTGCTCTTCAGCCCTTCATACGCTATTTTGATACAGCAAAACTTCTTTGGGACGACCTTAAAGAACGCTATTCGGTGGAGAATGTCCCGCGCACGTTCCAATTGAAGAGTGCTTTGTTGGGTGTCAAACAACAAGGTAACACTGTCAGCACGTATTACACTCGTCTGCGTGCAATATGGGATGAGCTTGAAGCATGCAAAACTGTCGCAGCTTGCCCTAGTGGCGAATTATGCCCGGCTACGAAGCATGGTGTTGATGAAGCTGAAAAAGAACGCACTTACTTGTTCTTAATGGGACTTGATGTGTCCACTTTTGGTCATCTACGGACTCAGATTTTCAACACTTCTCCCTTACCGTCTCTGAATAAGGTGTATGCCATGGTAATTCAAGAGGAAACTTATAAGAACCTCACCCGTTCCTATTTTGAACAATCTGATTCCGTCAGTTTTGCGGTTGCTGCCAAACCCTCGTCTGCTCCTGCTGCTGGTTCCCATCCGTCTTCCTCAAACAAGCGTCGCGGATGTACCCATTGCGGATGCCAGAATCATGACGTTAGTCGCTGTTACGCCCTTTATGGCTACCCTTCATCAGCTGCTGGACGTGGTCGTAACCGAAACAAACCTCCTCAAGTTACCCAAACTGTTAATGCTACGGTTATAGACCAGCCTGCACCTGCACTTTCTGCGTCTTCTGCTCTTACGCCTGAGGTCGTGCAGCGTCTCCTCTCATTAGTGGAACCAGTAGCCTCTTCTCCTGAGCCTCTATCTGGTAATAAATTTATTCCCTCATTTTGGTTAGTGGATAGTGGTGCTTCACGCCATATGACGGGTGATCTGAATGCTTTACACGACACTCACTCAATTAAACCATTGATTGTTGGTTTACCAAATGGTACCACAACTCAGGCTATTAAAGAAAGCTCAGTGATTCTAAATTCTTCTATTATTATCAAAAATGTTCTTTTTGTTCCAAGCTTAACCTGCAACCTCATCTCTGTTGGACAGCTCCTCCAACAATATTCTGCACAACTCATATTTTCTGATAATATATGTACCTTGCAAGACCTCACGACGAAGGAGATTGGTCTGGCCAAACTTGCTAATGGAGTTTATGTGTGTCCAAGAGAGCAGTTGAAGTCTTATGCTACGACGCACTCTGCAAGGACTTGGCACCAGCGTTTGGGACATCCATCATCTCAATGCCTTCGTTATTTGCCTTTTGCTCATGAATCATTTTCTTCTGTTTCAAATAAAATTGTTTGTGAAGCTTGCCATTTAGCAAAGCAAACGCGAAACTCATTTCCTTTGAGTATTAATAAAAGTGCTGCTACATTTGATTTGATTCATGTTGATCTTTGGGGTCCATATCCTACTGCCTCTATTCAAGGTGCTAATTATTTTATGTCCATAGTTGATGATCATAGTCGTGGTGTGTGGATTTATTTGCTTACAGAGAGGAGTGAAACGTCCCAT